TTAAAAGGCAATTTTCTACAAATAAAAACAAATCACTAACCCTTACCCTAATCCCAATAATGTAATACTGAGTCAAGATTAACATTTATCTTTATTTAAGGTGTATTTTGAATGAACTGTAGATATATCAATAGTTTTCATCCCCTAAATAAATATCGTACTTTACATTTGTGCTGCATTTGTCTTTTTGGTGCATAACTAAATGATCAGAGAATACATCAAAACTAATTATGACCTGGATTAAAACCATGTGATATTATAGTGTCAAAAGTATGATTCTAAATAAAGAATATATAGAATAGTAGAATAATTACATTATTAATAACAGGGTTCCCGTGGGGTCTTAAAAAGTGTTACATTTGATAATCTGAATGTAAGGCCTTAAAAAGGTCTTAAATATGACCAAAAAAATAAGAAAGGTCTTAAATATGATTTAGAAGGTCTTAAAAATTATGGGATTTGAAAGGTACTTCTGTGTAGCGATCGTGTCTAAATGTGTTTTGGGGGAAATGTACGGTAAGAGCCTTTCAGTTCCCCCCTACAATTTGTATTGAAATAAATCAACATGGAACCAGTAATCACTAACTTTGTTTCCCCCGGCCCCTTATTGGAGAACACCCAGCTAGTAACCTAGCAACCAAGCTTCAGCTAGCTGCAGTCAGAAACTCATGTATCTTCAAATCTACTTACAAATCAATATGGTGAAGTGTGAGTTCAACCGTATTTGGTTGGAAAACATCACATTTAGTGCTTGGTTGAAACCAGTGGAGGGAACGTGTTTGAAGCCCGCTGCACCTTTTGCAAAATAAATTAGCGTTTGTTTTGCTAATGTAGCGTTAGCTAGTGCAGCGTTAGCTAGTGTAGCAGCTCCCGCAACAACACCGGGGGACCTCCGGGCGACGTTTGGGTCTACGTCAACCCTAAAAGCGGAGGTGCTGTAGACGCTAAATACCGTAGTTAAACACCAATCATACAACAGCAACGATGAAAGATTGTAGCCAAGGCAGCAGGGCTCTGAATCAGTGGCGGCCGGGCGCTAGGGGCGCCGCCCCCCCTCTTCCCACATTAAACATTTAAAAAATATTTATTTAAAAAATATATTTTTTATTTTTAATAAACAAGGTAAATATTATATAATTGGTATCAGTAAAATGTATAATCTACAATAAAATCTCGTTTAAAATTATGTTACGATGTCTAAAGTTACTGATAAGTCACATTTCCTGCCTGGCCTTGCCCGTGTATTATTACCCTCTCTCATTTGGGCGCTATGCACAGCGCCCGGACGAGAGTGCAGCAGAAGCCAAATGTTGCTATCTTTAAACTATGCCGCCAAAAAAATTGTTCAGCCAATCAGCGTCATCTAATCTGATGGTCAAAGGGCGCCATACATCAGCGCCCGGTGCAGTCTGTGAGTTGTTTGGACTCGTATCCGGGAGACAAAACAGGAAGGTGTCATTCACTCTGGAAGCTATCATTAGCAGCTAATGAAAACTCAGTTTTTGACATAAAAATGGAATTATGGATTATCAATGCTTTTTCAAAGTGACAGACACATTGGATTAACCTATTGATTAAACTTCAGCCGCGTTTTTCTCGTTTTTGAACAGAATAAAAGCAAAAGGTGAGCATATCACCTAAAGCTACGTCGTGTGATGTCTGTATTTGCTTCCCCTGTCGCGAGTTCTGATCGCTCAGTGATGATACTTATATTTCTAGAATCTGTGGAATCTCAGCTTGTTAGCTAAGCTTGTTTGTGCATATCCGATAAGTATACCGATTGATTTATACCTAGAGTGCATTAGCATTTTTTCGCTCAGGGCTCATTTAGACGCTTCTTGTGAGACTTGTGTTTTGTTTCGGTAAACATGGTTCATATCATCAGTTAGCTGAGTTTCTTCCTGTTAAATGAGCAGGACACATGAATAGTTTATTACATTTTAAGAAGCCCTGAGACACAGTTTCGTGAGAAAAAAAAACGGGGGGAAAAAGGCCCCTTAACAGGTTAAATGGGAATTAAATCATTTTAAGTCATTTTGAGTGTTCCCAAAGCCCCGGTGTTCTGCAGTTTGTACTGTACTGTTGCACAGTTTATGCTGTAGAAACTATGTCCAGGACAAGGTGTTTGGAAGTTTTGGAAGATTCATAGCTAACCACACTGAAGATTATGGAGGTATTGATCCGTCTCATAATTGTAAGACTCAATTTGTCCTTCCGCCCCCCCCCCCCCTCCCTCTAACATCACCAGAAGTCATAATTTAAGGGGTCTTTTTTTGTTGTAATTACCGGGGGAACATCCCCCCGGACCCCCATAGTATTGTTTGGTCACCATTTTCACAGCCCCACCTAAAATATTTTCCATCAGCCGCCACTGCTCTGAATATAGCTCTTGTCACTCTCTCACTCACACACACACACACACACACACTAGGGCTGCTCGATTATGGCAAAAATCATGATCACGATTATTTTGGTCAATAATTGATATCACAATTATTAATTATAATAATAATGATTGACTTTGAAAACATCCATTTATTGAACTTTAAACAAATAATAATTTGAACAGTATGTTTTTAACTGTTGATTACCCTGAACGTATAATTCAACTGAAAAACCAATCCAAAAATAAATCAAATAAATGATACATTTAAATAAATAATATCAAAATAATAAATACCAATAAACAAGATCAACAAATATTTTGGAGCGCACTTCCACAAGCTACTAAACATATATAAATATGATAAATAAAAACAAATTAGACTAAAATTAATTAGATCAAATATGTTCTATCTAGTCACAACCTAGCAAAGCAAAATAATCGTTTTTTTCGATTATGTTGTTTTCGTAATTGTGGCAGGCCAAAATCTTAATTGCGATTAAAATACGATGAATTGCACAGCCCTAACACACACACACTTTTTGTCTAACACGCTAACACAGTTCTGTACTGTTATGCTGTTATGTTCAGTCATTGTTCTTATGTTGAACATGAATACATTTACTTTGTAAGTAATTATGGGACGTATTTCTTCTTTCATAGCAATTTTCCTTCATACTTTCTTGCCGTGAAATAGGTCTTAAATTCTATTCAAAGTGGTCTTAAAAAGTCTTAAATTTTAGTTGGCGAAACCTGTAGGAACCCTACATACAATTGTCAGTTAAATTAGAGATGCTTGGTCAAAATCATTATGTATCAAACTCAAAAGAAAATACCCTATATGTTTTATGTTTATTTTATAGCTTACTAAGTACATTTTAATTGTATGTATTGTTTTTTTCCATAGAAAAGCTAACTTTGAAATGTAAACTATTTTTAATTAAAATGTAGTTTTCATTATTTTTTTAAAGACATTTACAATAATACAGGTTCACAATTGAAACAAATATGTTGTATTAGAACTAACCAACAGTAAAAGGTAATGAAATATAAATAACATTTAGTCATTTTCTGCAGCAGTTTGTATTAAGGTAGAATAGTTCCATTACGTTGTATTATATACAGCAGACATGTGACTGGTGGTGTTGTGTCTGTAGGAAAAACATTTGATGTAGCTTTCCTCTCCAGAAACAAAAGTAATGTGTACATGTGTGCCTGGTGTTGTATTTAACAGTTCCCTTCTGAAGATTGTTCAGACATGCCATACTAAACACAACCCCCCACACACATGCGCGCGTGCACACACATACACACACACACACATACATACACACATACATACACACTCTTACGGAACCTCAGAGCCATCGTATCTCACACAGCAGGGCACATGGTCGATTGCCGGTTGTGGAGCATTATCAGCCTCTGTGTTTGTGTGTGTGTTGTGCAGACATGCTCTCAGCTGAGGGAGCTGGTTCACGGGCCGGTCAGAGCCGCCTTATTTCCTGTTAATTGACTTAAGATGGGCAAACAAGACCTCAGCAAGCACACGGTACCCATTACACTCACACACAAGGAACACACAACAGCGAGATGCACACACAGCCACAATTGCTCCTGCGTGTGTTAGATGCTTTTACAGTTCCATCAGACCAAACGAGGGGGTTGTGTTTTCCCAGTCTACAGCTGGATACAGCTCTGCCAGCACTCATGCATGATTACTAATATGTTAGTCACCTGATGGTATAAACGCCTCCTGGATATAGTTACTTGTATTCCAAATGAGGGTTATGATCTGTGAAGCTGAGGAGACTGTCCATCTTGTTTACAAAACTGATATTGAATGGCAGCTTTTCAATATTTCTGAAGACCTTTTTTACAGGGATGATGCAATGTTGCCTCTTGATGTCAAAAAGGATAATAACACTTTACCTGTTGCTGAATATCTCCATGTTAAATCCTTTTTACACATTAGTGTCAGCAAAACACCAAGTTGGAAAATAATGACACTTAGAAAGAAAACTATTTATTGGTTCTCAAAGGTGAATTAAAGAAGAAAGTGATGCCAACATGTTAAATTGACTGAATATGCACTTGTGATTTTAAAAAAATGCCAGACAAGGGACCACCTATCCTTTTTGTAATCACGTTTACATAATTTATATCTGTATTTGTATATTACTAGAAAACAATAAAAGTTGTTCAGTTTTGTAGTGGTCTGCTACCAGCAAGTTCAGTTTTTGAACAAAATTGGTAAAATAAAGATATTTTAATGGTGGGAAATGTTGATCTAATTATGTTTCAGGTGAAGGGGACTTTCCTCAGCTTAACAATGGTTTCATTCACACCCCAGGCTAACTTTGTAATTTTGTATTTATCGATGTTAGTACATGAACAGAAAATCACTTTTTTAAACCACTAGCATCTTCATGGCTTCCTTTGCCTCATGCACAGCCAAACTGCTCTGATAAACTGCATGCCTCACTCGCTCATCTGCCCTCTCCAAATATGGATGTGCTTGCTGAGGAAAAACAATTTTTCTAAGAAAAGAACACAGTCATGAATTACCGGCACAGATTTGAAATCAAACTTTTTCTTTTTTATTTGTCTCCTGCAGGTTATTCCTAAAAAGGAAGCTCCTCGCTCTCCAAATTACCATTTCAATTGATTTGAATTTTTTCCTAACCAGCATGTCTATCATTTGTATTGCCCCTTCATTCATCCATCCATCCATCCTTCTCTTCTCCCTCACTACCCAATCATTGTTTTGTCATTGGTGTGTGAGAGAGAAGAGGACAGGCGAGAGGAGGAGGAGGAAGAGAAGGCGGAAGAGCTGAAGATGGCCAGCTTTCTACTTGTCTGTCTTTCTGTCTTGTGTTTGTCCAGGTATGGCCTTATGAAAAATGACTGACCTGAGTCATATCCATTTGATGTAAATACTTCTATCTTACTCAATTCCTAAAAAAATGTTGTCAAGGAGCTGGATGTCATAACAGTAACTGTGACAGAAGTCGCAATTGGTCAATGGTAAAATAGATCAAAGCGAAACAGATTTGATTATCACGTTCTAAGGCTCATCCTTTTACTGTTAGTTTACCTACAGTAGGATTGATCAAAGTGTTTTACCTGCTTTTCAGCTTATTTCACTCTAATAAGAATTCAACCAAAAAGTACATAAACACTTTAAGTGGGACAGGATGTGTATTTTGTTTGTCTGTTTATGTTCTTTTTGTGCATCATTATAGGTGCACAATAGACAATAGAGTGGTGCAGTTTTTCGTATTTCTGTAGGACGACCAGGACGTTAGCATTGCAAGGACTCCCTCGACAAATTCATTGGTATTTTTCTATTGGATTTCGAAATTAAGATCTTTGGCAAACACAGATTAATGATAATCACATGTTTTGTATATACATATTAAGACCATTAGGTTTTATTTTGAATGTGTAAATACAATGGCCAGAAGTAAAAAGCTAAAGGCAGACTTGTGTTTGGACTAATCTTTATTAGTCTCATTTAGTCGCTCTTTTTATGAAACAACATTTGAAATGCTAACTCATTTCTGGGTTTTAGGACTCATCCCTGCACCACTCTATATCGGTGTTTCACTCAAGCTGGATGGTATCATCTGGACTAACATTAACAAAGACAGAAACTAACACTGTTCCACAGACACTGCCAACTTTCTAGTGTTGGTGTTTCCTTCCTCTTCTGTTTGGCATCTGTCTCCGACAATTATCATTATGTGACTGAGACAACTGAAATATATGTTTTTGAAATGTATTAGGGTTATTGTGGTTAGTCTTGTTATTCTAATGCTGTCGTCAAAACATGTTTTAAAGAGAGGACAATCATTATTTGTGTAATTATGTTAAAACACAATATAACACACAAAAGACTTAGAAATGACACAACAGAGGTTACATTTGCTTACACCAAGTGGGATATCATGCCTGATACATGATACATTAAATCATTTAGTAATGTACTTGTCTTTTTTGTTTGCCTTTATAATAGCGGCATGAATAAAAAAGAGATCTAGCCATCTTAATTGTTTTTAAATGTCAGTGTGAAGGTGAATAAAAATACTTCTGGATTACTAAGGCTGCAATATTGCTCTTATTTACATTTGCTTTTTTTGCTTATAACAAAAAACACCTTTTTTTATTCATTTTATTTTGAGCTTACTCGGACAATGTTTTCTGGTAGTTGGATACATTTTTTTTGTGATTTTACAAGAGACAGGTTTCAAAGGATGACACAAGTGCAATCTATTCACATAACTCACCATAACCTTACTTTAAAAAAAAATGGTAGTAAGATACCTAATAAGTTATAACCTGTTGGAATTAGGTTTCTCTTTGTAACAGCAAGCAGGTGCAGTTTACTGTACTGGTGGAATGTAGTGGCCACTGAATAAGGTAATTGATAATCCATTTATGTGATTAAAATGACGCTCAACATATGTTATGCTACCAATAAGTAACATTAAAGAACAACAGAAAGATGTTGAAACATTTTAAATGCAAAACTTAGCGTGTCGAAATATGTATCTTAAAGAAGCACAATATGTTATGAGCCAAAAATGGAGGCTTCATAAGAAGCAGTTACATGGTCCTCTCAACCTTCAGTGCAAAAGAGAGATTGAAGTCCTGGGCTCAGCTGTCTCTTGTATCATGGTTCAGTTTTTCTATGGAGCAACTTGCACTAACATGAACACAATACACACTCAGCTGCATTTGTCCTTTAGGTACAGAATATCTAAAGGATGAGATAGCAAGAAGGTTAACATTATGAGGGAGCACTTGTGTATGTAGAGGACAAGGCTATGTGTTTGTATGGGGCTCTTACAGTGTTCCGTTGTTGTTTTCTTCAAACTGCTCATATCAATATGCATACAGTGGTACCTCTATGCATAAATGCCCGAGTAAATATACAAGTTATAGTTCAGTTTTCCTGCTGTTAAGTTAGTTTAAAGTTGCTAGGACTGTAAACTATGACCAGCACACCAAAGAGGAGTGCTTACTCTTTGTGTAATTGTTATACTTACATGACATGTTGTTTATGTAGTGCTAGTGTTGTAGTCAAGACCAACTTAACTGAGACCATGTCATGAAAAAAAGGTTGGAGTGTACCAGTACCAAGACTAAGACTTTAAGAGGTTGAGACCAAGTGAAGACCAGGACTGGGCGAGACTGAGTCAAGGTCGTAACCAGACTAGTATGAATACACCACTACATAATACACTTACAATAAAAAGTGGAAGATACCATAGTCAATTTGATCTGAAAGATCCACATTATCATAAAAAGACCCACGCACAAACAGTACGATATCAATTCACCTTCATCATATTTATTCAAAAAGTGATTATTTTAATTTAAAACAGTACATTTGTGAAATCAACCTAGCAGAAGTTTTGGCCTAAAAAGGAACTTACACTGTAACTCCAGAAATGTTTATGTTGCCCCAAGAGGCTGAATTGTCTTCAGACTGATAGCTGCTTTGTTCTGAGATCTACTATAAAACAAAAAATCTTTATGGACACCGTAATAAAATATAGTTAAATAGCAATAAAATAAAGCAGTAATTTACATGGAAATAGAATGCTATGAATGAATTATAGGATATAAAATATGTCTTACCTTGAGAGTTTTTAAGTATGTGCCTGGGTTCACACGTATACAGCCACCCACGCTACACCATCTTTTCTCAATTCCAGCTCATTTCAGCATAACACCATAATTGTGTGTTTTGTGTGAGGACAGAGGACAATCTCACATCATGTAGGCCCCCACGGCAGTGTGTTTGTGTGACAGCGTCCACACGATGACTGCCAAGAATGGTGTTTGTGTGCATGTGTGTTTTGTATTATTTATACATATGGACGAAGGAGGGTTTGAAGGCGGTCTTTGTTTAAACTAAATAAATAACTGGTTGTTGGATGTATAGACACGTACACACCAAGCGGCAAACTCTGGGGCAGAGCCAGGAGGCCAATAAGGAAGTGCCTCAAACTGTAGTTCATCTAGTGGCCAGTAGGAGCAGTCTGCAGAAGGGAGCAATTTCCATAGGCCCCCATGTTAAAATGACCAACTTTACAGCAGAAATAAACATGTTTACATCGTGGTTCAAAAAACCATATTCTCTGTATAGTTAGATTCCCCCTTCATGACTACAGTGTGGGGGGTGAATTGTTTGAAGTGTTTGCCTAAATTAGGGTGTGGTCACCTTGAGTGACAGTTCTCTGCAGTGAGTGCTGCTTCTAGCTTTCTGTCTCTCTGCTAGCAGCTCCGTTAGCTCAGTAAGCTCCACGATGCTACAGGGGCTCAACTGCTCGGCTGATCCCGGGAACACAACTTGAACCTGGACGTGTTTGTTGTGTTGGTGCCTGGTGGAGTATTCTTCATTTAAATATCGGACTTATCTTATGTCTCTGCGGTTAAAACAGACCGTCCCTGAATGCAGTTTATTCGGTAAGTGAAATTCAAGCACTTTATTTCTTATTGGTCTTTTTATTCACCTAACGAGCGAGAGGAAGCTACATCTGTGCTAACGATGCTATCCGTAGCATACAAGTTAAAACATAATAGAGAAGTTTAAAACATTGAGAAGGATTATACTGTAGAACAAACGGCTTCTGTGTGAGGTTGGTAAAATAAGGTCATCCTCGTACATTAGTTAGTTTGCTAGTTAGATAACTATGCATTGTTATTGTTGATTTAAATTCGCTATGCTTGACGATGCAGACAGCTAATGCCACAGTAGTTTTGAAGAGCAGTGAGCGTACTGTATATGAGATTAACCTCACTATAAGATCTGTGTATCTGAAAAATATGAATCTCACAGTTCCAGATGGTTCCAGAAATAACGTTAACATAGATATTGCAATATGGTTTGTTGAGCTGGAGTTGATTATTGAAGCGTAGGCTACTGGTTAACGTTACCATCATAATAAACGAACCCAAACGTTGTTGTTTTTATTAATATTATTACCAATACTTACTAAGCATTTTATTATCATTACACTGGAGAAACCGACTTATTGTGGCAGCAGAACATGTAACTTAATGCCTGCAATTTAAGGACGAACAATTGCGTAGTCAATGCTTTAAGGACAAGGAAATTATTTGTTTAAATATAAGATATGACGTTATGTGTGCTTCTGTGACAATTAAGCTTATTCATTGCATTACATTTGTTAAAGATGTTCGACGTTTACCCTTACGTGTGTGTTACAAATGAATGTGAATATGGCATAGGTCATGACATATATTCAATTTGACTGTATTACGTTCCCTTCTGAACTAGGGGAATCAAAGAGAAGCAACACAACCAATAACCAGATTGGTATTGGTAATTATTATAAGGGGTTTTATTTTAGACAGCAATGTAAACAAAAGGCAGGCAGCCTGAAACAAACAAAGGAAGGACTCTAACAGAGGAGTCTAGTTATTTGTGGGGGAAATAAATACTAGTACACTAACTAAAGAACGAAACAAAACCTCACTTCAAGAGTGGTACAACTAACAAAGGGAGTCTACACAAAACACAGCTAAACTAAAGGCAACAGTCACAAATCCTAACTATACTCTAAACACTAACTAACCTACTCTACACTCTACTAACACACAATATCACATGGAGATAGACACACAAGATTAACCACAGCATGAAGAGCAAAATGCGAGAGGCGTCTGTTCACTCAACAGAGCCTCCAGAGTGGTAGTTGTTCCCGGGCTTTATAATCATCTGCAGCAGGTGTGCGCCGGCGGTGTGCTGCGACTGGAAGACGTCGGGTCCGGCGTGCTCCAATCACGATCTTCGGAGGCGGACCACAGGATGGGCAGCCAATGACGTCAGGGCTACTGCGCAGCTTATCTAAATATTACACACACAGCTGAAAACACTCACAGGCAGATTAATGAGCAGACAGAAACAGCAACCGTAACAGACTGTCTCATGAAAAACTATTCCAAAGTAACAGTAAAATAAAAAGGACCCCAACTATTCAATAATACACAATCCAACTGATAAGATACAGTAAGGGCTGTGATATCCAGCACTTTGTTTTAAAGGATAATCAAAAAGATTATGACATGACGTTTGCATGTAAAAAAGTCTGTGACCAACACATTGTTACTTTACTATCTGTTTGTTCAAAGTTTCCAGGTGATGCAGACAGACCAGAGGATGCTGACCATGAGAGACAGACCTATTCCTAACATCAGTGAACTTCAGCATGGACTCAAAGTGACCCCTTTCATACTTTCATTAAATAGATAAAGTTACAACTATAATGCACTGATATACATGCCATTAAACATGACTAAATACTGACATCAAGGAAGTTGACTGTTCCTTCCTTGCAAAAAGTTACATTTAGATTTGACCAAGCAACATGATTTTTTTTGTCAGCTTTCACATATCAATGTATTTAAGGCAATTATTATTTTACTTTGTGAAAATTGCTACCATTTGTCTCTACATATTGTCTGTAAAAGATGTGGTAAAAGTGGTTCTTGCAGTGAGACAACCAAACAGCATGATTCTACATTTACACTAAGTTCTGATAACAGTTGAATAGTATTTAATAATAACATATATTTTAATGTTGATTAACTTCATAATCTGATTATCGATGTTGTACAAAGTGATTAATTTAAAAAACACATTCAAATAATGTTGTATTTATTTCTACAGCCCTCTAACAAACCTCTTTCATAAATAACACACTTACTCTGCAATACTGTCATATGTTTGATGTTTCTTGTAATTTCTGTTAGGAAAGGACATACCTGAAGGACACAACTGCCTCACCGTTTTCTCCGAGGGGCAAGAAGAAAAGGAAAAGCTGATATGAGATTAAAGACCAATACAAGACATTCACTAAGAAACTACTCTTTTATTGTGAACACAAAGATCTGCACACTGAATAGTGTGTATTCAAACAGGACCATCATTTGTTTGTGACAGCTGTGCCCAGTATCGGCTCACAGATGCAGTTAGGTGGTTTCTTCATCAGGCCTGGTCCTCTTCCCAGAGAAAGATCGCTCCACCTCAGTCCTCTCCAGCCAAATCCACAGACAGGACATCCGTCACACTGAGGTCTCTCCCAAAGCCTTTGCAGCTCTGGACTCCACACTGTCTCAATTGATCCACACTGTGAATATGAGAGGGGAACATGTGTGTGATAAATGCTTTAGACAATAAGAAATATGAAGTTAACTGTAAGGAGTGGCTCAGTTTTTTTAAAATAAACAACACTATTACTGTATTTCAATATCTCACGTCTGAAAGTTTCATTTAAAAGAAGAAGAGGCACCTAAAATGAAGATTGTTATTTCAATACATTTAGTTGATTTTGTCTTTTTAATTGTTTAAAGTAAAGTAGATAGAACTGGTACTTAAGAGTTTGAATACAGTCTGGTTGTGGAGGAGGCACACAGGTAAGAGCACTCACTAGCTACCATCACATGTAACTAAGCTTGACCTGAATGTATTAAAAGTATAATTAAGTAATAGCAATAACTAAAATGATGCACATATTTGAATCTTTGCTGGATCCACTGTTGAATTTACCACAAGATATTTTAGAAACCTGAAGGCATTTTAAGATTTGTATGCAAGCATTATCCCAAAAACTCTATACCTTAGATTATAGTTGAAAGTGTTGCTGAATAGTTTCATGTTCACTTACCTTAAGCAATGTAGAATGCGCAGACCGGGAGCAACAGATGTAGGTTAGCCGGCTAGCATCACAGAGCAACATGTTATCTTAGCTTGGTAGCCTCAGCTAGCTCTGGAACTTCCAGCTCGGTGGCAGGAGTTAGACTCTGACGTCACTGTCGAGCTGTTAGTGGCCGACACCGACTACTTTACCCCTAGTTTCCACCGGGTCCCGTCTGCGGCGCATTACGTCTACGCCGCATTACGGCTGCGCCGCAGTTTTGGTCCGGCCTCCTCCGGCGTCATACCCTACCGGGCGCGTTTCACGAGCGTTTACCAGAAGCATTACTTTAGGCTTCTCGGCAACTCTGCATAATCCTATGAGTGACGTCACTGACACTACATCCATTTATATATAGTCTATATGGTACACACACACATACCAAGAGGAAATATCCCTTTATTTCAGTGTTTTGTATTTTAATAATATATTAGTTTTAACACTCAAGTGAGCTTGGAAAAATGAGGACGCTAAACATTTCTTAATTTTTCAGAGCGTCCTGACAGCGTGGGTGTGTTATCGTAACATAGTCCTTGTGTGTCATGTTAACAAGTGCACACACACACACTATTTTTTGTTACTATTTTACTTTCCTGTTACATCATTTACAAGTGTCACTCTGACACAACCTTACTGATAATGAAGAACAATTAGACTTAGCTCCAGCTGACAGCACAAGCTATGAAACTAAAACTATATGGAATGCTTTTACTTCTTTGTAAGTATCCTAGATGCCTTAAAACCTGAACCGTGTGACTCCGGGTTCATATTTGTTGGCTTGCACCCCTCTCCCAATTTGAACCATTACTCTCCACTTTGTTCTCCAACAGTTATAACCTCACAGTGTGCCTCTGATTACTGTCCTGGTGTATTTTAGACTGTTCTGGGAATCCAGAAAAAAACTGATACTGGTCCCAGCAGAACTCTTGGTTACACACATTTACAGTAACCCCGTCTGTGTGTGTTTGTGTGTGGGTTGCTGTTTCGTTTGAAGTGCTCATTCCCCCTAAATTACAGTGCTGCCATAATGAAGTATTACCATGCAATTCCAAGGCAGACCAATACAAAGAGTGCGCAGTTGTGTGTGTGTGTGTGTGTGTGTGTGTGTGTGTGTGTGTGTGTGTGTGTGTGTGTGTGTGTGTGTGTGTGTGTGTGTGTGTGTGTGTGTGTGTGTGTGTGTGTGTGTGTGTGTGTGTGTGTGTGTGTGTGTGTGTGCGTGTGCGTGTGTGTGTGTGTACTGGACAATTGAGGCGAAAGTTCAAATGGGACGCCGGGGTACAAAGTATCTGCCCGTCCAAAGTGTGTGTTTATATGAGTGCATTTGTTTTAGAATGCAAGTACAGAAATAGCTGTGTGTGTGATGAGGTCCCACTGTGCCGAGGCGAGTGTTTGTGTGTGTAACAATGCGTATGACTCTATCTTTAACAAAGGCATTTGCATGAGTGTCCTCCCAGTTGTGTTTCTAAATGTGTGGATATACCAGCCAGCTGTGACAAAGCACTGTGTGAGCCCTCTCTCTCACACATACACACACACTTGGAGGTTCAGACATTTTTGGCTGCAGGCTGTGCTGGCTCACCTACGGCCACTCCGGCCTGCTGAATGTTGCATAAGGCCCTGCCGCCTCATACATAGTGCATCAGCACAAACATGCCACCAGATGATATACATACTGCATTGGCACCTGCACCCGCCTTCCCTAACAAGCATTCAATCCATTTTTAATCAACACACATGCATTGGGATCACCGTTTGAGGACAGGAAAGTGAAAGTCGCTTGGTAAACACAGGTGTGCGTTGTTGTTTTTTTGCAACTGTTGTGTTTGTTGTCCTTTTGTATTTCCCTTTTGGCGCTCTACACTTTGGAGTTTGATGGATTTCTTTGTTATGTTACTACTAGGGATAACTTATTTTTAGGGACTGAGCTTGTATTTGCTAAGTAATATTTGTTTTTATATTTACAATAGATCAAATGATTCAAAGATTTGAAGTCTGTATTGTCATATAGCACTAAGCAACAGCTAGTTGTTGGCAATGAAGTCCCAGGCTCCTCAACCAGTGCAACATACAATATGCATAAGACATAAAAAGGAAAAATACATAAATGAGTAATATGAGAGTTGGTTATGGTGACCAACCTAGAGATAGCACGAGAGAGTAACGCCAATTTCCGCTGCTTTGCACAGCTTTTTCTTCTTTTTGCTACAATTGTTGTTGTTTTAGTATCCCACTCTATACTAACCATTTAGCACCAAATCGCAGACAGAAAGTTGAATCAAACATCATAGACGCTTTGCTACATGCAGAACAGGAGTTAAGTGTTTGCCTCGACTAAGTTGTGCAGTGACAACTAAATTAGCCTTCGATTGCAGAAGGGTTCCCACTGCATGCCCTTCTCAACCAGAACCATGTTGAGCTTGTCTAAGGTACCACGGCTTCCTCCCCAGTGGCTATCTTGTTTGGATTTGTATGTAGGCTTCACCACAGGTTTGTTTACATTGTGTCTCGTTCCCTACGGAGTAACACCGGCGATCAGCCTGCCAGCTGCTGTCAATCAAACACAGTCACGCCCCTCCAGGCAGCTGAAACAAAAAGTAGCATTTCTGATATTCCTCTAAAATACCTTTTTTTCTTCATTTAATAAGAACCAAAAACAATAAATATATACAGAATATTTAAAAAGTTTGTGTGGTCAACATTATTGACAACCAAAGACTAATACATTTGATTTTAGGACTTTAAGATATATAACTTAAATGTTACTCTGTATACATTGTGTTCTGCCAGAAGGTTATAGTTATTGACAGATTTTCTGATTGCTCCCAGCCTCCAGCTCCATCCCGTACTGACACTATTGCTGCTATCAGCTAACATCTCTTGCTCTCAGACAGTGACCTATCTAGCTTCCGCTTCATAGCTAGCCTGCTAACGGCAGTGGGGCCTTGCAAGTCTCCCCTGAACACAGAATCTTCTAAATGAAAACCATTCCCCTCCGCCTGTTTCCTGAGCTTTGCTCGGGGACAGGAGCCGTGGGGTCAGCAGCTGGTGGAGGATATGGCAATTGTTTATGAAAAAAAAAATGCTTTCTCAAGCCCACCAAAAACACACACTTGGGGGAAAAAAAGCCTCTGCCCCTGAACAGCCAACAGCTGGGAAGGGTTGGGAGTAGCCTGGAGGCTGGCAAGTCACCCCCTCCCCAGTCCAGATGGGGGAGGTTAGGCTGAGGCTAGTTGCGGCCCACGCCACCCCTTCCCTCTCTCCCCTCCACTTCCCAAACTTCCCATTCCCATTAAGGGGAGGCTGAAGATTGCGGAGGAAGGGAGAGAGGAAGAAAAGCAAAAGAGCATGACTGCTCTGTTTTTCACCCCCAACCCTCCCTCCGTCTTTAGCCTAATCAAATAAAGCAGGAAGCTTCCGAGACGGAAGAGGAGTGTTTATTGATATTTGCGTGAGCTCCTTCACCCCCTGTCCTGTCCCTGCTGTTTATTTTCTGTCCACCACTTCTGAAATGTATGATATTGTAAAGGTTTTCGCCTCATAAATCTTACCTAACTTAATGTTTGAAAACTGCTGACGCAAAAACGTTATGTTTCTTCCATCTTCTACAAGTATATCTTAAATCGAGCCACTGGGAAATTACACCCCAACTCAGCATCCGTTTCCAAAAAGTTATGACCGGTCAATTTAATGTATTGAGAGGTTGTCATACGAATATGAAATGAAATGGCCCTCAATATGAATTGATGACCCTCTCCATCTAAACCATTTGTTGGACACACTGGAGCCAAGAAAGCCTGTTGAGAGTATTGGGTTACCTTTCTATTGCATCTTTAAGACCTAATCCAAAAGTTGCATTTAAATGGAAAACTGTTTTGAGAACCATGAAGATCCCTTAATGTAGACCTGCTATGGAAGAGTGCGATGAAAGAAACTTGTAGATTGTAAAGGTGAGACAAATCCGGGGTTTCAAATCGGTTTGTTTTTAAAGTTTTGTCAGGCTAAGGCAGTATACTGAGCTGAATGGCAGTAAGTGTCCCCAATTGGACTTGAACATTTCTCAAGGATGTGACCCTGTTTCTTTGACCAATGTTGAAATAATAAACGTTGTGGTAAGGGTATCAAGCCAAGCCCCTGTCACTTCCTATGAAAGAACATAAGCACAGAATCTAGAAAGTCTTAAACTTTTATAAGATCATAAAAAACCCAAGAATAACCACTGGGTATTTTTACTGATGTATAAATCAGTCATCTAGTCATATTTAAAGGAAACCATATCCATTTCAAAGCATCATATTCTTTTACGAACTTTATTGTCATAAAATGTAGTGTCAAAACAGATTGTAGGTTATGATGCCAACGTGGGATGTCAGTTCTCCAACACCAGTACCCTGTAGTGGTCTCTTCAGAGTGCAGTGAACCCTTGTAAGGCACTGCTGAGAGGATCCCGTGTTTGAATGGCGTAGTGCTGAGAAGTTGCCTTGAGTAACAAAGGGAAGCTTTTTTCTTGAACTGCCACTATGAGAGCATGTCTTGTTATTCTCAATGGTCCTTTTGTTAGAGGTCATCGAGAGGCGACAGCTTGATTTCCCCTCGAGCCGTCCATGTGTGCGCAAGTGTGTGCGCACATGCCGCCGCTTTTCTGACATATCACTCGTTATATCATTGTGCGTAGACAGAGTGCAGTAATCCAAGCTTACCTGCAACCCTAAGGCTCACTGCTGACTGCTCACTGAAGGTCACAACTGATGACCTGTGGGGTCCAGGCCACATCAGGGTCCTGGGGTGCTGTTGTCTCTGAAGCATCCCAACAAACACACACCAGACAACTTCCTATTTACACCAGTCATGTAGTACAGGCCATTAGGGAAGGAAACCATGTGTAAACACACCCTATAAGCACATACTCAAAGAGTTGGATTTGTGTATATGGATGAACACATTTAGATTTATTGAAATATTTTAGATAGTGGTGCGGAAGAAACACCCAGATCTAAACTCACTTTTTATTTAAAATGACATCTGGTGATTTTTGTTTGCTATGTAAAAGCGTATATTTTCATTGTTAAAGTGACAAATAATACACGTGAACTAATGGCGTGTCACCCCATCTACAATTTTTCAAATGTGGATTACATTGGTGTTACAGTAGGAGTGAGGTATGGAACATGCAGAAAGAGCAGATGGGTTATTACAAAAAAGAAAACAAGAAAGATAGGAATAAGGAAAAACAAAAG